GTTTTTGCATACCTATATATTTCTTATAACTATTAGTAGTATTTATTTACATACACATGTTGACATACACTCATACTTGTTAATATGTATAGTATATATAAATATGGAGCATTCGTACATGTAAGTTGCAGGTCTGTTCGTAAAACGTGATTTATTACAAAACGTTCAAATTAAACACCCTGAAACGATGCATAAACATGTAAGTGTGTGTATGATGCGTGTGTATGTGATGTAAGCATAATACTTGCATAATGTATGTATCGCGTGTGTGCATATTTGCATGGGTGAATTGAACATAATAACTTAAGTATGGACTTATTTTTGTTTGCGCATGCATATGCATGTATGCGTGCATGCATAGGGTGCATGCTTTGTATGTTTGTCTGACTGTTTTAATTTGTGTGTGTGTCTGTTATCTAAAAAATGTAAACATATTTCATTTTTCAAAGATTTATATACTGGTGTGTAATTATAAAAATATGATCTGCAGTTCTACGTCCGTGTTTACAAAATTTCGTTGCCTATGATAAATTTTTGTAACAATTTGGTATTTTTTGAATATTTCATGGCAAAAAACTGTGAACCTACCTGTAAAATATATTCTGAGCAGCTATTAGCAGATGAGCATAATTATGGTGGAGTTTATTATATATTGCTGCAACCCATGACTCTCGTAACTACCGACACCAATGATATTTTCAAATATCTCTATATTTTCAACACCAGTGTTGTAGCTCCCAACGATCGTCGAGTGTTCGTTATTTCTTGGTTTTGTATTCCGTTGGTATTCGTTTCGTTATCTCGTCGATTTCCGATGAATGAACACAACTGCTTCGAACGCAAAATTTGTTGAACGTTTATTTGAATGCCAACAGTAATAGAAACAATAAACTAATTCAATTCAAGTAACTACATAAATCACATTTACGACTTTGCTTCTAACTTCTCTAGAAACCTGACTGCAAAACCTGACTGGCAACATAACTACTACGCAGGACCTATACATAGCCTAAATTTTTAGCATAAATTCAATATTTTTTTACAATCCTATATAGCTTACAATCCAAAGATTACAAATATAGCAAAGATTACAATAATCAGGATAACAAATAAAATAGCGCAATTTGATCATTGCCGCGGTTCTAACAATAGCTTTAATTTTTCTCTGAAGCAATCTTACGAAGTTATTTCATATTTGGTTCCGAAATAAAATATGAACCCACTGGCATAATTTCATTTTGCAAATTTTGATTCACAATTTTTGATACCTATGGATGTGACTCAGACGTTAATTAGATTACAAAATTACAACTTAGGTCTGCTCCTATTTTTTTGAAAAAAACCGGCATTTGAAATGTTATAATATCAAAACGGAAATACACTTATAGTTATTGATTTTATTTATGAAACGGCAAATAGGATAAATTATATATATATCAATTCAGTCCTGTCTAAACAACACTCAATAAGGCACCGACAGGAAGCCTTCAATACTATTTCATTTCAAATACATTCTATTATGTTCAAAACATTTTTTCAATGTTTTTAATAAGTATTAACATGGATTTGCCATAATGTATTCAAAAAGTGGAATAAAATTATTGAAACTATGCTAATTGAATAGATTTGTGTTCATAAATATTGCGCAAGAAGCGCGACACAAAAGAAATAAAGAAATCATTCATATAGTCAACCAGTTAATCATTTGACCAGTTATTCAATCAAAGCAGTTAGACAGTTTGTCAGTCAATCAGTTAACTAATCTTACGATTAAACAATCAGCCATCGTTCAATTAACAAATCAGTCATCCCAACAGTCGACCAGTTGGTGTATGTAAGCTGCACATGTCTGACACATGCTGCTAATGAATTACACGCCATTTGATGGATGTTTGTCATATCATTCAACTGTTACTGAAACGAAAATTATTTTCAATGTTCTTTATTTTTGCTTATTTTGTAAACGATTTCATGATTTAGTGACTCCATTTTTTAATGTCATGCTCTGAACATGTTCATTATTTATGATCTCTTGTGAATAATAGTACTAATTTTCTAACACAACGTGGAAGTCGCTGAACAAATGTACGCTGTGGGTAATAAATCTTAACAGCATCATAAAAAAAGGTTTGAAATGGCTCTGCTGATAATAAATCTTTGCGACTTTTTAAAATTATTTAACAAATCAGCCCCGAACGACAAACGAAATTTCAGTCCACCACGAAACATTTTTCAGCCACTTGAAAATTAATTAAGAAATATTTTTTATTTACGGGTTATAAGAAAACTAAATGTTGAGCCTTGTTGGATAGCAATCGAACATCTCATCGCGCAAATCGAGCAAGTCGAAACTTTCAGTTCAGCGTACCAGCACTGTTCATATATGAAGTTGTTTTATTTCTGTAAATTATAAAGGAAGTCTAAAATAAAATGACAAACACCAAAATGTTGTTTAATGGTTGAGAATTTATTCAAAACTATCATCTTGAATCTGCAAGAAATTACACGATTGTTATTATTGCAAATGAAAATAATCAACAATAAAAAACAAAATACAAAATACAAACAAATAAAAAATGAATGAAAATTAAATGTAGGAACATACGGACGAAGAAAGGTAAAATAGTTCAATCACTCACTCTAATTCTCTCTCTCTTTTCCTCTCTCTCTTTCTCATACACACACAAAGACACACACACAGACACACACTCACGCGCAGATTGGCACCACGGAATGACACAATCCATTTCTATCATACATGTCAAGAACTCACTGCTTCACAAATTATAACGAGAAGAAATCTATTCATCATCATCAGCATCACCATATTATCATTATCATCGCCATAACGATATCTGCCATTTCATCACAATCATTATTGTCTTCATCAAAGAGTTCATCATCTCCACCCCATGCGATAAATAGAAAACAAATGTGTGAGTGACTGAAAAATTAATGGAAAGATATTTAAAGTAAAAAGCTGACGGATGCATTGTAACAAATTAATTTGCACTGTTTTTCGTTCGGCTCACTTTTGTCGTGTCACTCTATCAACTTGTTCTTAATAAGCTCTTCGATGCATGTGTGGATGTGTTTCGTGTGCACTTGTGCTTCATAAGTACGTGCGTGTACGCGTGTATATGCGTGAGTGTGTATGTGCGCGTATGTGTGTATATGCGTGTATGTGTGTGAGTGTGCGTTCGACTGTATGTGTGTATATGTGTGTATGTTTACGACTGCGTGAATGCGCGTTGTGTTTGTGTATGTCATTTTATTTGTGCGTGTGTGTTTCTGTTATCGGCAAATTATTTTGAACGTACCGTAGAAAAACGTCAGCCATCACACGTGAAGTTGTTTAAATTTAAATTAACGATCGAGGAGAGTTCATAAAAATTTACTTGAATGATTGAAATTTATAGCGATAATCATCGTTCGAAGCACGATGCATACACTTCAATACGCTCAAAAGAACAGCAAACATAATAACAACCATTTGCGAAGGTGATGATGATAATGGCGATAATAACAAGAATAATTTGAAAGAATAATAAAAACAACGCTACAAATAATTATTCTAACATAATAATAATAATAAAAAAATTTTCAGTCATACATCAGTGAGGGCTGCACGTTGAGTGAACGATTTAAAGCCATCAGAAATGAATGGTTCTCATATAAGGAGTGATAAATCTTCATTGCTCATTCAATTGTTAAACATAAATAAATAAATTGCATGCCTTTATCTGACTGGCTCTCAATCATCCCATTTAAATTTCTTATTGAGGTTTTCTATACAAAATTTATCAGTAAATCAAACTAGTTAGTAAATCGAACCGTTTCTAAGCGAATAATTTAATTAACTGTTTGTTTACCAATCAAATCGTTTCCATGCTTCATGCTAATTGAAATATTTCAAATTTTTATTAAAAGAAAAATAGCATTGGACAGTTGACGCAAACATTCATGATTGTTGATGTAGAAGTACTTAACAAATGTAAAGCCAACTAGTAAGAAGAATATAATTAAAATATTTGCAACTATTCACAATCCAACAACTGTCCACAACAGAATAGAATTGAAATGAATATGTACAACAACCGAGACAGAGTGCTGCAAGAGAACGCCTAACATCACGATGGTCATCTATCAACATTTCAAGAAACTATGAAAACTGATCTTGAACATTCATCACGTCACTCCAATATCGAAAAAATGAACGAAAAATCATACTGCTAAAAGAAGGTATATATATATATATATACTTATATAACAATAACTTAGTTGCACGGAATATGTATATATTTATGTATATAACTTATATTAGTGTGGTGTGCAGAAAAATGCGTGCAAAACGTTAGAATTTACTCTCCTAACGAGACGTTTGAAATAATTTAACGAGTCTATCCATCATTTGAAATGGGCGATAAATCATTCTGCTAATAAATCACTTCGAAACCAAACATCGATCAAGCATTTTTTCGTACAATCTAAAACAGTTGATTCATATAATGAAATATATTGTTTGTATATATATATAACACACACACACACACACACATATATATATATATATACATATATATATATAACATATATATATATATATATATATATATATATATATATATATAATGCATGTATATATACACGTTTGTTACCGTAAATTATTAAAGTGCTTTTATAAACAATTTAACTGACAAAAATTAAGTTTTATGTCTACTTATGTTTGACTGTTGTTAACATGTTGAAATAATTTCTGTCGCACTTTTTTAACGTACCAGGTGTTGGGTAGTGGCAGGTTTTGAGGTTGAACTACCGGTCGACGAGTAGAGGTGATGGTTCTCCAAATTACGTTCATTCATGTTTTGCAATGACAAACATGTATCTGGGTCTTTCAATATTAATTTTTCGTCGTAATCAGTAACATATGAACCTGAAATTGAACAACAAAATCAAACGAGACCTTCTTCTTTAATTTTGGATGCGAGTAACTTGGGAAATTAAGGTGCAGCAGCTGCAGCAACGGAGTTGAGATGCTGGTTGTAGAGGGCGTATGGAGAATAATATGCAGCTAGGGAAGGGAATGGCTGGCTCAAAACATTGGCATGAGGAGCTGTTAGATTTGGGGGCGTCAAGGAAAGAGTTGGTGATTTGTACGGATGATAACGGGCGGAAGTGAAAAGGCTGTTTGGACTAGCGCGCGATCGATTAGTGTGGGAACTACTGTGATGCGGAGCTGACGTCAGATGGGGGTGAGGGAAGCTTGGAGAAGACGAAAGACTTCTTGTACTTGGGTGTGTACGACTGGAAGACGGTACACCAAAGTACGATGACAACGGAAAAGGCAGAGGAGGGAGAGCAGCTGGGTTGAAGGGAGGTAGAGCTTGAGGTGGTAAGGGTGGCATAGGTGGCTGTTTTTGTTGCTGCTGGTGGGGGTGATTTATTGTCGAAGATGATTGTGGGGGTGAGGGAAGAGTTGGGGAATTTGATTCTGTTGTGTGTCCATGCAAATGTATCAGTAATTCTTCGGATGTCAGAAACCTTTTGCCGCAATATTCACTTCCTTGTACCCAATTGCACACCAGAGGTTGTCCGTGTGGTTGATGGGGGAGTTGCATGGGACTGCTCAATGAGGAATTAAACATCGAAGCTCCCAATCCGCCAGTAAGTAAAAGAGGGTTGAAAGGAGGCATGCATAAAGATGGCACAGGAGGAAGAGATGCAGGGTAGAATAAGTTGGCTGCTGCATGCAACGATGCTGTTGCTGGGTTGATGTTGCTGCTGCTGTTGAACATTGTTGTTGATTTATCGCAGCATTGATTGCAATTTGTTGATGTGCAATGAGGGGATTGACTTTTTAGATGAGATGTTGAAACGTGTGAGCCAGTACAACTTGGTTCTTTGCACAAACCATTCTCGTTGCATTTTTTAAAAAGTCCACTGGCTGTGGTTGCTCCGGTAGGTGACTTTTGTTGGTTGGGTAAGTTGGCAACTTGTGACGCTGCTGCAGCTTGAACCACAGCTGCCAAATTAGCTGAGTAGGCAGCCAGCGGATCAAGCGACAGTGGATAGCTGAATATGGAAGGATAAAGATTGCTAAGAGCCGAAGACGGAGATGGAAATGAAGATGCATTTTGTATTGCTTCTTGTAGTTTTATTGAATTATATAATGGATATAAAGAGTTTTTAACTAAATATTCCTGACTGTTTGCATCCATTGGAAAATAACCATTGTTCGAGTTGTTATTAAGCTTGTTCAAATAACCGTTGAAGTAGTTTGGTATGTATCGACCAGCGGCTGATAACGACGTTGTACTAATGTCTTCGTTATAAAAGTTGTATTTGTCCGTGTATGATCCAACACTCGAATGTCGGTCAGTTAATTTTTCGGCGTTCATTGACGGAGTTCTGATGCAGTTCGGTTTGTTCGGACTTGTTTTGAAGTTGTTGGAATGGGAATTTTTATTTGTACTAGTGTTGCTGTTACTTTTTTCATCTTTTCTCAGGATGCAATCAGATCCATTTTGTGCTTTTCTTCTTTCTTCTAAGTTAGATTTCGATAACTTTTCAGGTGTTGCACCGGTTTTCAATCGAGACGAGCCATCCTTACTCGGCGTGTTGTTGCTAAAATTGCTTGACGAAGCCAAATTATCTTTTTTGTCGACGGGGTTGTTGCCTGTAGCGGATGGTTTGTTGTTGCTGTTGTCCCTTCCAATGCTGCTGCACGTCTGAACCAGCAGAGCAAGTGGGCTGTTCTTGGCGTCCAACTGTTAATAAAATTTAAAATAAATTTTAAGTTTTTATTTGAATTTTAATTTAAGATTTATTTAACATCATTTATAATACAACATTTCAGTTTTAAATAGCCAAGCAAATTAAATTGTTTTCAAAAACAGTTGATTTTTTTAGATACATTTGACAAATTTAAACAATTTTATCTTTGATTAAATTAATTTAAATGATAATTTTTTCAAACAGACATTTGATATTTTGAGGAGAAATATAAAATATCACTCAACGTTGACCCCGAATGAGGCGAAGAATATCAAAACCGCCAAAAAATATGTTGTTATAAAAAAATCAAAGTTCTGTTAAAAAATGTACAGATTTATAAATAAACGAAATGCAATAGATTGTGGTAGGCAGAGTAACATAGCTGCACGTGGTTCGTATGAGGTTTGTAGTTGCTACAATTGTTCATCATCGGCACACAAAAGCAACAACAATAATCGACAAAATGCAACAACCTTAATAACACTATACAACAAAACCTGCAACAAACTTTATTACAAAAGTACACCGAGAACGATAAACAAGAAAAAATTTCTCAACATTTTCGCCGTTATTTCAAAGTGCTCTCTGCGCGTTAAACGGCCATAAATTGAGCTATTTGCATGCATAAAACGACATACTCTTCAATTTACAACACGTTGTTAAATTTTTTCAGAGATGTTGCTAGGCTCGTTGAAGCTTCTTCATTAAATAACTTCGTGCTCTTTATGATTTTTTAAGTTATTTGAACGAGATCATTTCTTTTTGGAACATTTTGAAAAAGGAAAAAAGTTGTTGATGATGTTACTTACTATAATAATGTGATTGAAACAACACGTCTGAATTGAATTCATAGCCTGCCACAGTTGATTTTGCGTTGTTAATCTGATGACGATAACAAAGTTAAATTTGAATAATTGAAATATTCATTTTCTGCTTACTTTTTTGCATTCTCATATTAAAAATGGTAATGAAATAGTAAAGTAACGAAATGATTGAAACTTTAAAACATAACTTTCTTGATTTTATATAAAACTATGGTAAGGTCGGTTCTAGAATATGCGGTTCCAGTGTGGTCGCCGTGGAAGGTAGAGATGGTAGAGCATATTGAAAGGGTTCAAAAGTGAGCAACAAAAATGATAAGGGAATGCAGGGGACTAAACTATGAGGATAGGCTTAGATATTTGGGGTTGCCAACGTTGAAGTGCCGAAGAGTTAGAGGAGATCTGATTTTGTTGTTTAAAAAATTTCTTGACCTGAATGATCAAGATTGTTATTCTGAAATGTCTTTGTACTTAAATGAGAGAACAAGAGGATATCATAAAAAACTAGGAATATCGGGTTCAAAGGTAACTTGCGAAAGCATTTTTTACTTGTCGAATCATTCCTGTGTGGAATAAATTACCTGCCAATATAGTGAACTGTGCCACTGTTGACAGATTTAAAAATTCGTTGGATGATTATTGGAAGAATGAAAGTTTTAAATACAACTGGAGAGCGGAGGCGCCTAGATCAATAAATTAAACATGCAATCTTCTGGAATGTATTCGTGTGTATTTGTGGGTGATATACAGATGTGTGTGTAGCGATGTGTATGTGCTTATACGCTTTGTATTGATGTATTCATTGGTTTAGTTATATAAGTAATGATAACGATATATATGATATACATTCTATGTTTGGTGCACTTGTGTGGTTAGAGGTGCTGAGAGTTGGTAGTGTCGTTTCCGACTTGATACGCACAGGTCAATTGTGAAGTTGTTTTTAAATGGGCGGGTGTATATGTTCTGTTTTATTTGTTTGTTTTTTGCACTTGAGACTTCATTATGTAAATAATTAGGTAAGAGAATGACCGTCTATAATTCTAAGATTTTGGCATAGACTCTCAACACCGGCAGGTGTTAAATTAACTAATTTGGAGCTAACTACATTTATTTCTAATAGTTTTCAGGGTCGACAAGGATGGTGTGGCTACGAGGCTTGTCTGCAGTGAACGATATCGTGAAGTTGGATTGGTGAAGGCCGGGATGAAGTGACGGATGGTGTGATGGGTAAATTGGTGGTCATTGGCACCGGCGATGAGGACTATACGTTGGATTGATAGACAGATACATATTGCATCTATATATATTCGATTATTTTATCGATATGGTACCGTAGTTTATTTTTATTGTTGTTATTATTATTATTGTATTTATTTTTTTATTATTTTTTTTGATACTATTTCAAATTATTATTGTTTTTTGGATTTATTATCCAAAAAACAATAAATTTATGAGCACATGGATTTTAATCTACGCTCATTATTTAAATGTTATGTTATGTTCATATAAGGGTAGGTAACATGACTGTCAGATAATGTAGTGATCGTTCTCATTCTGATTACCTTCAACGTGAATACTTCTCATTCAACTTTTCACGAAGTCTATCAAGATGATGTAAGTAGAAGCAAGAGAGACAAGCGATCAATTCCAAATTAAAAAACGAGTGTCACTGTCCTCCTTCTTATCAATTAGGTCCTGGAGTCAAAAATGTGTTCAGCAGCGATGACTGCCTGCTGGTGCAGTGAGGCGCAGCCAGGCAACTATGATGTTACTTTCAAGCGCGATTAACACGTGCAATGTTATTTTGTGAAACATTTTCTATCAGAGGTAAGACGGGAACGGGAATAGCAGGATTTCCATGGTTCCCATGGAAGTTGGTAGAGTTGGAAGTTGGTCTAGTTTTTGGGAATGGAAATTTTAGAGAATATGGAATCTTTGTTCGAAAATTGGGAATGCTGGACGGGAATGGGGAAAAATGGGAAACACAACACAAACGTGACTGAATTTAAAAAATTAATTTAGATCAAAATATCAGTCATCTATGCAACTCAACACGTGTCCGTGTGCGTTAACCGTTTGCCGTTTGAGCTAACTATATATAAATATATTTTTTATAAATTATATATACATATATAATTTTCATATAAAATTATTTTGTTGTTCGATAGTTCAAAATTTTAAATAACGTAAATAAATGAATGAATGCATGGAGAAGGAAGAGAATGACTGATGTGCATGTCTAATTACGAAGAGATGAATAAGAGCAATGGTTGATGATTAATACTTGCGGTGACTGTCTGGTCTGCCGCAGACGTGAACATCCACAACAATGCAGTTCATCATGTGCATCTTACCTCACCAATTGTTTGTGTATGTGTGCGCGTGCGTGCGTGTGTGCGTGCGTGTGTGTTTATGTGTATGTGTGATGCTTATGATATGATATAGGGACTCTCTGTGCGTGTGTGTGGTGTTTGTCAGTATGTGTGAAGTATGCGCGCACGAGTTTGCGTTTTCTTGCGGAATGTTTCAAACTCTTCACTGATTGTGATGAATTCATTGAGCTCATTAAAAAGAAATTCTGAAGACAATACTAATCTGTTGGAATGGCCCTCTGATTTTTTAAATTTCAGGACATTCTGATTCGCCAACCATGGTAACGATCATTCAATGTACACAAAGAAGCCCACACATTCACGCATACATACATTTAAACGTGTGCCATACAAATGTCTCGATCATCAGTGGTTGGTATGAATGTCTGGTAAGTAAAACTTGATGGTCACACCAGTCAGAAGCTCCAGGCATGTTTTTGCACTGACATGCCTCGTTTATGAATTAGCAGGCACCGCTGATAAAAAAATCATCACTATCATGCATGATCATTATCTTTATCATCCTCCTCATTATTATTATCATCATCATCATCAACATCATCATCAACAACAACAACATCATCATCATCAACAACAACAACATCATCATCAACAACAACATCATCATCATCACCATCATCATCACCATCAAGAGTTTTAAAATGAATTGTAATGAAGATGATTGAAGATCGTGCATGGTAATAAATAATATTTTATTGCTGATGATGACGGCTCTGTAGCTGTCATGTTCACATGACGAATTATATCAATAGACACACACACAACACACACACACGCGCACACACACAACATCACAACATTCATACATATATATATATATATATATATATATATATATGGGTTCAGACTGTTGTATAAATAGTTAAGAAGTATCACCACCGCATTTTCCGCATTGCTGAGTTAGCAACCAAGTTTTTCAATTTTTCGAACAATCATTTTATCGATATTATTCAATTTATTCAAATTAATAATAAAATTTCTAATTATTTTAGACTCCATTTTTCATATGTACATTTACATAAAGTTTTTCGGTATCATTTACCATCATCAGAGTAATATATATATATATATCTATATATATATATATATATATATATATATATATATATATATATATATACATATATATATATATATATATATTTCTGCTTCTACTACTACTATTATTACTACTACAACTATTACTACTACAACTTTTACTACTACAACAACTACTACTACTACTACTACTATTACTACTACTACTACTTTAAAACTGTGTTGATGGGTTATGCTGTTAAGCTTATGTTATTTTCACATGATGAAGATGGTGATGATGACGATGATGAAGATGGTGATGATGATGATGTAATAAATAACCTTATTGTTTTGTTGTTAATAATGTTGCAATTTTTGTTATTATTATTATTATTGTCAGTAATAAAATTATTATTATTGTTGTCGTTATTGTAGTTGTTGTTTGTGTTATTCATGTTGATACGGTTGTCATTGAGTTGTTTGTTATGATTGTTTATGGAGTCTGCTCGACGAACGCTCGCCACATGTTTGTGTGTTTGTTGCATGTGTATTTGTTGCATGTGTGTGTCTCTGTGTGTGTTTGTGTGTCTGTGTGTATATGTCTGTGTGAATGTGTGTGAGTGTAGTGTGTGTGAGTTAGTGTGTATGTCAGTTTGTGTGTTTATGTGTGTGTGTGTGCTAGCTAATTTGTTGTAATGTGTATTGTTTTATGTATGTGCACTTATTAATGCACACGTTTCATGTACGTATTTATGTACACGTGTGTGTTTGTTTGCCTATATTTATGTGTGTGCACTTGTATGTGAGTGTTTTGTATGTGTTTGTATGTTTGTGCAACAAACATATGACCAACCGTTTTTGCATGTTTTCAGTTGTTTTTTAAATCAACACCACTGCTACTACTATTAAAACTGCTTCTACTACTACTACTACTACTATTGCGGCTACTACCACTACTACTATTACTACCACTACTTCCTCCTCCTATTACTACTACTACTACACTACTACTACTACTACTACTACTAATAATAATAATAATAATAATATTAATAATGGGAACACTGCTTTTATTTTATCAAATATCACAAAATGAATATAAAGATAGATATAAAATAATGTTTAATATAATAAAGTGTTTAAATTAATAGGCTGTTAGTCTAATTTGCTCATCACTCGACAAAAATGAGTACAAATAGAGAATTATAGTCAATAAAAATAAGGTTCATTCATTATTCCTATCGCAATATATTGAGTAAGATGATGATAACACAGAGTTTATTAAATTGTTTCTAAAATCGTTCGACCAAATTAAGTTAACCAGCGATAAATTAAAAGTATTGTAAAAACCCATTGTAGAAATTTCAAATATTTTAATTAAAAGTTTAAAATTATTGTATTCACTCTTTAAATTAAGTTGAAGGGCTTGAGAGTACTTTTCAATTTTGTATTCTTTAGATTGTTTTAAATTTGTTTCGTGGCATATCGTTAGTTCTAAAATATCGATCGTGTCGCAAAGATTAATATCAGGGCGCAGAGATTTAAACAGCGTTAATACTGGACGAAAATCTTCACACTCCAGATCGGCAAACAACGAGACTTCCAAACTTGCGCATTTTTTAATATTTTCTAAAACTATTGAGAGAACTTTGTTGTGACGATCTGAATATCTTTTTAAAGCTGCAACGGAGCTACAGTTGGACAAAACATGCTTGTTTGTTTGATAAGCGTCACATAGTGGACATTGTGGTTTAAACGTTTTTCCCCATCTTGCTAGGTTGGAGTTTGTTGGAAGTTGTTGAATGATACTTTTCCTAATAAACTTGTAAATAACCTCTGACTGTGTGGCCGTAGACCTTGACCAGCGAACTATTTGATCTGATTTGATGTTTTCCCTCACTGTCTTCAACACTATTCCTTGGGAGCTTAGTGATGATAAATGGTCGAACACCTTTTCTTGCTGTTTGAGCTTCAAATCATGGAGAGTGGGATTTATATCTTTGGTGACTGGGAGCAAGTTGTCTATTTTTGTGTAGTCATTAAATGACTCGCTCCACAGACTTTTCATTTCTTCGTTACCGTTAGATTTAAGGTAGTTGCGAAGCTTCACTCTCAATGATTCAGCATAATGTTTCAGGGATCTGATGTTCAGACCTCCCAATTTGTACGGCAGTGAAAGAATCTCAGATAGACAGCTGCTTATCGGTAAAGCCAGCCAAGTTCTAACGGCATCGTTAATCAATGGATCCAACTTGCTGGCAATCCATGACAGTGATATATCGTAAATACGCAGTTCGAAGGCTACTTGAGCTGGGACAAAACGACGTAAAATTTGAAGTTTCCACTGGGCTGTGGTGTCCAGACTTGAAATCGTTGACAACATGCCTTGTAATTTGTTGAGCAGCAAATCTTTAGCTTTGGAATTGTTGCATTCGAAATCGTATATTTTACCTAGATATTCGAAATGGTCACCAATGCGTATCTGCGGTACAGTGGTGTCATCAATTGTCAACCTCGGCAGGAATTGTTCGTAGTTACCATTTTTCTTCCTCATGCCGAACGTGCAGCATTTATCTATCCTCATTTTCATCCCGGTAGCTTTGCACCAGGCTTTGTTTAAGTCAATTAATTTTTGGGCACCTTCTGTGCTGTTGGCGATGATTGCTGAGTCGTCAGCAAATTGGAACCATGCCCTTGATTTTAAATAAGCTGAAGGGCCCCAAATGTAACCACATTGCTGGTATTCCCTGCCCTCTAACAATTTCATGAGTGGATTAAAACAAAGGTTGAACAGCAACGGTGACGCAAGATCACCTTGTAGTACACCACGCTT